TACATAATATTAATTTTTATTCCTTTACGTAGACACTGAAGCAATCGATCACAAAAAAGGCAAAGTCTATTCGGATCAGGACAGAAGCAGAGTCGCGGAAGCAGCAAACAGAACCGATGACCGGTTAAGTCGGTCAGCATCTTTGGAGGTGACATCGGAAAGTGAAAAAATACTCAAAACAGGAGAGAAAACGTCGTCCCTTACCGCGGAAGAAGTGCACACTATCGTAGAGTGGATCGAAGAGAACAGCACTTTGACACTGACACAAATCGAAGTTAAAGTGTACTATGCCTTCAATAAAGAAGTGCCGATCTCCACAATATATAACTTTTTAAAGGGCCGGCTGTATACGACTAAAAAAGAACTCCACCATCCATTGACCATCAACAGTGCCGCAAATAAGTCAAAACGCGCCAAATATGTAAGAGCTTTAAATAATTTTATACAAGCTGGAAAACAAATAATATATATTGACGAAACAAAGTTCAAGTTTTTTTGCCGTGACCCACAGGGTGATTGTAGAGCAGTTCACATACATCTTATCGGAGCTATAGCCACAAGCGGAGTAATAATGATGGATCGCCGGCGCAGATCTTTTAAACCTGAGCATGTATGCAGTTGGATGCATATAGTACTTCATAGGTGGGTTGTGATGGGCAACAACCTTGCGGATTTGGTTGTAGTGTGCGATAATGCTGCTCCGTGCTACAACCATTTGATAAATGGGATTAATACTTTTAACGCCACAGCAAAGGCAACACTCCTAAGACTGTCACCATATTCGCCAATGCTGAACCCTATGGAAATAATTTGGTCTAAAATGAAATCTTATGTGAACGCAAATGTTGACGGTCTAGATAGGTCTGGTCCAGGTGTAAGCAAGAAGTGGCTTTTTTACTTCGAGCGTCGTATTGATAAGGCAAAAAGAAATTTTGTTGCGGGCGATTGCAGTAATGCAATCGAACATACTGCCTCCTTTCATCCGGATGCACTGTCTTTAGATGACATGCCAGTTAGCATA